TTTTTTGGCTGAAAGTGTTCATGAGAATGTTAGGCGAAGAAAACATTAACGTGTCTACAAAATGACTGAAGTGAATCCAGTTCAATAAATCCAAAAGGAAATACATCTAATACAGGGACTATAAAACAAAAATAATGTTTAAAAATTTCATAATCTTTTAATTACTTTTGTCAAAGAAAGCCTTTGATTCCTTTTCCTAGTTTAAATCTTGAATTAGAATTAATTTTCTCTCTTCATGACAACGTTAAATGAATTACAAAGAAAAAAAAGAGATACGTACAAAGTCAGGCGGAGAAATTTGCTAATGTCCCGATTGTGCCAAACAATAAATAGAGAATGAATAATTGAGACAAAATATTTAGTGTGATGTCATCCTCTCGCGCCGAGTATACAAGACGACAGGGGGGGAAGGAAGGTGAGAGAGTGAGTGAGAGAGAGAGACTCAGGCAGACTCGTAAACTAACGCGTAGACATGTACACACGCATATTAAAAAATTACAAATTTTGACTTGGAATTACACTACCACACGTTTATGTGGCATAATTGTATCCAATTTAGTCTAATTCTGAAGAAAATGATCTGATAATTTACCATCAATTGAAGTTTCATACATGCTTCATGGCTTTCTTTTCTTTATTTATCTTTCTTTTTTTTTTGGTAAGATGTCAAAATCCCGTGCTGAAAATTATATATATATATATATAAAGCGTTAATGTGGTCATTTTGAAATTAACCCCTGACGAGACCACCAGGTCGAAACAGTGGTCGCGTAATTTAATCGACTTCCTAAATTTTAAACTATATATATATATAAAACGAGTAAAGCAAAAGTAAATACGTAAAGTGCTCAGTACACTAAGTAGAGCAAACCTAAATATGAACCTAAAGCGCCTGGTTCTTTAGCATATATATATATATATATATATATATATATATATATATATATATATATATATATATATTTGTTTATCAAACAGTATATTTATTTCCATCTACAGGCCTAAATATTGGAGAAATCTCATTAGGGAATCATATTAGTGCTGTTCGTCAGGTATCGAACGTGCGCTTGCTTTGACCTCACACATACGCACTGACTGATGGCCAAGCAAATCTCGAATAGTGTTTTTAAACGTACCAAATGCAATTTTAGGCAATGATTTTTAATCCATTAATTAGACATTTTATTATTTAAACGTAGGCGAGAGGTCAAAGCCTGCCAGATCTATTGAATGTTTCCCGTAAGGGAAACGATGCTTCGAATCATGCCAGAGAGCGCATATTTTTCTAATAAAATTCCTTCAATATATATATATATATATATATATATATATATGCGTGTGTGTGTCGTCCACAGACATACTGTTTCGATGTATCAGAGCTCCTCAGTGTGGCTAGACGTCCGAGTGCTTTAAGCTGGGATCGAAACCCGACTGATTTGACATCAGTCAGATATCTTGCTTCTAGGACATCTTCGAACGGCAGAAAGGAAGGGAATTTTAACGTTTCCTTTTACTTGAATTACGCCAGGGGCTCGGAGAACTCAATTCAGTTTACTTGAAGAGTAATGCTTAATAGCAGTACGACCTTCTTTCTTTCTTTTTAAATATCTCTCTTTCCCCTAGAGAGCTCAATCGCATTTCCGGGCGCATATAGAGACATCCACAGACTGACTGTTTCGGTGTATCATAGCTCCTCAGTGTGGCTATATATATGGAATGCTGTAAAATTCGCAATGTAACCAAGCAATGTTTTAAAAATATCTTCTTCTTTACGTGGAAATACTTCCAATAACTCCAGTGATATTTTCTTCGTTCTATAACATGAGGCAATAATCTTATACTACACAGTCTATATTTGAAGTTCGAATTTTCCGAGGAGTCCAAGTCTTTTTTTTTTTTTTTTTTTTTTTTTTTTTTTTGTCGAAACGATGGCCAAGTGCAGTATTGAGCAAAACGTTACATTTTTGTTGCATTTTTCTGTTTTTGTTTCGTTTATATTTTGTTTATATTTTCCTTAATTTTCCCATGATCCATTCTGCACCTAATCACATTTCTCCAATACACAATAATGTAACAGCTGAATACAAAATGTAACATAAAAATGAAATGGGTTTAACAACTTTTTTCAGATAATAGTTCCAAAGTAAAACAAGATTTTTAAAAAATGCCTCGTTAGATTCTCTTTTTCTGTCCTCACCTCGTCAATATGTTGACATACATTGATTTGAGGTGCCGAGATTAGAACGAATTAATAAAGTATTCTCGATTAGCATAGTTAATTACGTTTTCATGTTTCTCTCATTAACCTGGTCTTCTGCCTTTTCTATATACTTGATGTCCTGGTGTATTCGAGTCGCTTCAACTTCCTTGGAAATCAATCACTGGATTAAGCAGACCTTGCATAGACAGATCATCAGTCGTTGAGATGTGCTATCACTAGGAAGAAATGACTGTTACCAAAATGACACTGAAAACGAAAGCTTTGGTACTAAGAAAAACATTAGATCAGTAAAAGAATACTGTCCTATTTTTCTGTAAGGTGTCAATATCTAATATATTCATGAGAACAAACCTTGTTGTCCAGCGCTGGAAATACTGAAACGGAAAACATAGCCAATAACTGCTCTAATTTATTTTATATATATATATATATATATATATATATATATATATATATATATATATATATATATATATCATCATCATCAAACCAACCTGTTTGATACGCGTATTTATTTACAATTATTTCAGAATATGGCATAACTGCAAAATGATTCCTTTGTTGTTAAGTATTTCAATTTAAAACCGATTCAAGATACAATTTGCCATTCAATTCTCAGTTAGTAGTGCAAGGGATTTTCACAGTATTAGAACAGGCGGTTTTCCAACCGTCAGCATTTAAACTATGATAGATAAATCCCTTATTTTCTTATATATTGGTTGTATGTTTTTTATCGGCATCACCCCATGCAAGGCAGTAAAGCCACTAAGACACAAGGGGGTTACAAGGTGTAGAAAATTAGGAACAGAAACATTATTGATGAGCGAGAAACAGAAAGAATAATAAGGAGGACAGTAGATAGCGATTGACATTGCATTTAAACTTTTGCTGATTAAAGTTGGCTGGAAATCATGGAGCCGAAAGGGAGTTCCATGAGCGAGAAGTTCAAGAAAACAGCCAGTAAACTGTAAATTGATGAGATCTCGAAGTCAGCCTGTTACTGAGCTTAATTCAAAAAGCTACCGTAGCTAAGAGCAATATTTATCTTGTAAAATATTTTTTTAAAAATGTGGCACAATGCCAAAAGGTGGAATGAGGAAAGGATGGTCATCTTCTGTTTCATAATTAAATTTAACTAGCCCTAATCACTGATCCAAACATACCACAATATTCCTTTCATCAAAATCTATTCTTACTTACCATTCTTAATACATCCACCATAATGCTTCAGAAACTCTATGAAGTCCTAACTAGTTCCCCAGATGTAAAATCCTTGTATGAGGAGTGACGGGAATAAAACAACAATAGCTAAGAACTCATCTGAACAAATGCCATTAAAATATTTATAGAAAAAAAAAACAGAGGCAACCTTCCAGCGGTGACTGAATCCGAGCCACCAGATCAGGACCAATAATATTGCTGATTCTTAAGGTAAATAGCAGGGACAGCGGATCATATGTGGCTGCAATATTCTAAGCATGGAGGAATGGTAGTCTTTTAGATATGCCATCTAACCCATGCTTGGAAAAATATATTTATTGTTTTTAGACGATAATATTGTTATACATATTGTTTTAGAAAATTTAGGATATATATATATTTTTAGAGGATAATGAAAAGTTTTTTTTTTTTTAAAAAAAAACAACCAAGTAAAATGTCAATATTAAAACGGATTCTTGTTAATCATATGTGTCCATGAACTCATATTAAGGAAGCTATATTGAGGTAAAATTACATATTATTTACAGAAGGAATTATGTACACCTATATTCTTGCTTATTATAAAATTAAACAAATTTAAAAAAAAAAGGTGCCACAATATCTGAAAACAAGAATAGACAAATATGAAGTGCGTTAGCACTCGGGGATACTTGTGCTTTCTAAACAAATAAAACTGGTGGTAATTCAAAAAATATTATGGCTATAACAAGAAATATTTGGTGATTACTTCGTTTCAGTGCTGCTTAGAATTCTACTTCTATAATCATAAAAATTTAACTTGCCACTTGCTAATTATGGTAAAATGTTTTGTGGGATGTTCAAGCACTCCAAATTAGTAACAGAACGTTATTCAAAACAATACCGCATCTGTTCTCTAATGCATATTACCCATGATGCATGGCAGATTTACTAGTTGGTAAGAATTAAGAGTTGAAAACGAAAGTGTTTATAGTGTCCTGAAACAAAGCGAATATTCGTTTACATTAAATTTTTTTATAGTTTCGCATCGATTTCGTCCAGTTAACTGATATTTCTGACACATTTAAGATTTGTGAGTGGGGGGAGGTTATTACTAACATAATTTTTGTTTAGTTTTTGTCATTATTCTAAAGTCACATTGTATATACACATTGGGGATTTGTTCACGTGTTGTTTCATTCCCCTCCCACCACAGACGAGAATTTGTACATATGAAGACTATTTAGGATTTCATTGAGACAATGAGGTATTTTGGTGGATGCAGTAAGAAAGGTAAGTAAGAATGTATTGTTTTGGTGCTAGGATTATTATTTGTGTGCTGGGGTCAGTGGTTGTGACTAGCTAAGTTTTAAATTTAGATAATAACCGTCCTTTTCCCCGTTTCCCACTTTTTTAGGCTTTTTGCCACATTTTCTGTGTATTTCTACAGAAATAAATATTTTTACATGATATCTTTACAATTCTTACGGAAGAAGTGATTTTTTTAAAATCAGCATCAAGGAACAAACTTCACGCTTTCACTAAAAAGGATTCAAGGAATTAAAATAACAATGAAGCTGGAATAATCTTATAATGCTGTATGCTTTTGTTTCTTTTTGTTTTTCTTACTGCTATGCATTTTCTTTCTCTTTTCTTTCTTCTCGTTTTTTCTGGTTCTGATTCATGTATTTCGCGGTAACATTTGTCCCTGACAAACCCCGGTCATGTCCTCCACGCAGGCACACTTCAGAACTGTGAATCATCAATAGTTTTTAAGATCTTTCGACAGTCAAGTTTACTGGCAGCATTTAAGAATAAAGAAAAGGAAATATCGATATCAATGGGGAAAAATGACTTTATAATTACCACTTAAGCTGCAAAGATCTTAAAATTGATCAGAAAAAGCATTCAGCCGCTTTCTCTTGATGTTTTCCTCTTTTTATTCTTTGTGAAGAATTGATTTACATTATTCGCTTTTAACATTTTGCTGTATTATTTTCTGCTGTTTATAAACTTTCTTTTTTTTTAATTTTTCTGTATTTTTTTATTTTTTTTTTTTAGTATTATTGTACTAAGCTCGAAGCTGGACGGTGAGCGAAAAAAGGAATTTGTTACAAACTTTTTTGCCTCGGAAATAATAAAGTAATTCCTGACTCCCCCCTACCCCCAGTTTTGAACACTGGTTATTTAATATTCGATAGGAAACAATTATACCAACGACTGTGAAGACTAACTTTATCTCTTAATATCATTTGACTTTTTCGTTTTTTTTAATTTACATTTTATATATGGCTTTTCAATCAGTTACTGTATATATCTGCGTATCATGCAACTTTTGAAGACCTAATTTTGAAGGTAATTTTAAGGCGGTAGCATCATTCACGATATATAAAATTAGCGTATGCACTGATGGTCCTGGCTACGCCGATGACCAAAGTATTATCCATTTACTGTGGTCAAATTAGCTTCAAAATTACTTCAAAAGTCCCATGATACGCGAGTATATTTTATATCAAGTCATTCATGGCTCCTCGCCATAGGCCATTCTAGAATATTACGACTCCAGAATGAGTTTAACTTGCTTCTTCTTCTTCTATTTACCTTGATCACATCAGGACGTTGGTGATTATAGCTCTCCATGATTCCCTGTTTGTATCTCTTGGTAAATGCTGTCTTTTTGTTATCTCACCTACCCCCTATCCCTCCATCTATTTGCACAAGTTCATTAGATTGGTCTGGTTTACTTTATGCTTCTTGTTTTCAATATGTTCTGTGAGTGTCAGATTTTTCAAATCCTCTTTCCTCATTATTTGTCCTAAGAAATTCAAATGTCGGTGTTTGAGGTTAAGTATAAATGTTCATTTTACTTCCATTTTGTCTAAAATTTCGTTCTTGCTCAGTTTACGGGATTCCCAACATCCTTCTGTAGAACCACATTTCTATCACATCTAGTTTCTTTTATCTATTTCAATAAATTCTTATACTTACTTGATTTTTGTATCTCCAATACGTAATCTGCATATTGGGCCATTCCGTTTGCTGACAACCATACATTTATTCTTCTTTCAATTGATGTTTACTAACTTCTTTTCGCTTTCCTTGACTACTTTTTGTAGTTTCCTTTCAATCTCTGCTACAAACACTGTCATCCGCGTATCCTATGGTGTTACGATTATGGCCGCAAATCATGAATCATGGTAGGTCTCAGAATCGTCTCAATGTAGGTGTTGTATAATTTTGCTGAGAAGACACATCTCGTCCTACAGCCCTTTCTATTTTTGTATATTTACAGAATTCATTTTCTATCCATATAGACGCTGAATTATTCTAATAGCTTTCTCAAGGATACCTCACAGTTAATGCCACAATGTACCTTAATCAATTATGTGCCGTTTATTTTCAGCGTATGGGCAATAATGGCTTTTTTCAACTTCCTGTCGCTTGGAGCTCAGACCAATGTTTTGATCGCCGTAATTGCCCATATATAATACGCTTTGATCTGTAATACGCACCCCTAAAATTATGCTGAAAGTGTGGGAAAATGCTTCTCCTCACAGTTAATATGCACCTCTTGTTTGTAATCAAACCTTATAAATTGTACCTTTCCGATTTCATTATGGCCAGCGTTTTCTACTCTTATTTAAAATGGTTTTAAACCTAGAATAATATTCTTCTAATTTAGTTGTATGATAATTCTTATTTTGTTTTGCATTTGTAAGTATTTTAGGTACATATCATTGTATTTTACATCCTTATGTGGTCGCAATCGCCGAATGTTAATGCCAATTTTTCTATGTTTGTCAGGAGTAGTCATTTCGCAACTGAAATCGATCTATGAAACGGCAATTTTTTAAAGTTTTTTTTTTTTTTTGAAGTTGTGCATAATACGCATCCCTAATTTGGCTTATTAATTTCAAAAACAAATGCGTATTACACATGGCTAATTACGGTATTTACCATCCATCTTCTCTTCGTTCTACTACCCGTTCACATAAACCCGCTATTTAGGTTTCCCTCTACTCTCTGCCTCTCAAGCCTTCGCTATGTTTCGTAAGTGTTAAATTCTCCAGGTCCGCCTTTCTTTATAGCGTGTCTCAGAACTTTCAATTTTCTCCATTTTTTTTTGTCATTTAATATATTTTAGTCTACCGCATTGCCCTTATTTGCCTTGATAACTACGATATGTGATGGTATAAGTGGTGCATTTTCATTTAAATTCTCAACTATTTTATAAGCATGTAAAAAGTTTGTATATTTAACCATGCAATTTTTAAAGTAAGCTATCTGGCTATTAAAAAAAACCGTAGAAAATTAATTTAGCTCTAGCAGAAAACAACGGTACGACGGTCATTCAAAAATTACTAGCTCTCACCCAGAAGGAGTTGGAGAAACAAGACAGTTGTTCACATTTTTCAATATAGTCCCCCTTGACATCAATGTACTTGGTCCAACGATGCTTAAGCACTGCAGTTCCATCACGGAAGAAGATGGCTTTCTGGTCCTCCAAAAACTCCTCCACAACACATTCGATCTCAAAATTGCTTCCAAAAAGGCAACCATGCTGGTAAGATTTGAGTTTAGGATACAGGAAGAAGTCAGATGGAGCTAAATCTGGTGAGTAAGGGGGATGGTTAGTAATTCAAAGCCACAATTGACTGTTTCAGCTACTGCAACCTGAGCAGTGTGAACGGTAGCGTTATCCTGGAGAAAGTGTACACCTTCCCTCAGCTTCCTTCTTCGTTTCGACTATTTTCCTCATCTTTGTTGTTGTTATTACTTTTCAGCCCTTCGGCCTTCCTCAGGTGCATATTGATTACGATAAAGTACAGGGAATTCTTAGATGAACCCTTTATTTAATCTATATAGTTAGACTGCTCTCGTTTTACTGCCCTTATCTAGTTCAATATACAAACTATACCTAAGAAATGCCGGGGGACACAACGGCCTCATCGTTAAGATAACAACAACAACAAAGACAAGGACAGTAGTCAAAATACAAATAGTGTAAATGTTAACTCCTCATCCTAGAAATTCAGTCCGAAAATAATAATATCGGTTTGGGTGATGTAAAAATGACTGTCAGAGTTAAAATTATAGCCTAGGGTAGTGAGTTTCGTGGGGATAACATCTAAGGGAAATTGAAACGAAAGGAATTAAATTGGGATCAGAGGGACAGCTTAAATTTATAAGATGCATAAAAAAAAATTGTGGTATAGAGAATTTAACACTAAGACAGCAGATTTAAACAGAAGTAGCTGGGGAAACAACTAGTAACGAGATAGTGTAAATGGATGGCAACTTAGGAACGAGGAAGGATTGTAAAAGAAAAAAAAAACATAAGAGCGAAATTTGTGGCGATTCACGATCGTCCACGTCCCGAAAGGACTGGGTACGTAAAAGAAGATAGCACTGAAAGAGAAATGAAAATTCTATTTTTTTTTTTTCAATGTAGGTTTCAATGTGTGGTCCGCTAGAGGTGTGTTCTTAAATACTCGGCGCATCCTTTTTATATAATGCATAAATGTATTTGTTCCAAAATCGATAAAGAAAAACGATAATCATTTTGGATGTATATGTAATGGCTGACTTACAGTGGAAGGATAAATGTTTTATACAAAAACCACACACACATACACACGAGCACGTAGACTATCTCACATATATATTTCATTTTGTGCTTGTAAGTCAGCCATTATTATTTGTTTAATTCTGCGCGTAAGAATATTATCTATTGCTATTTACAATATAAATGTCTATCTGATTCGGTTCTTTTCTTTATTTTCTTACATATAATTCATTGTGCTTGTTGTTAAGCCATTTCGTATTTTGCTTCTTTCTGCTCTCGCAATCTTCTCTAATCTTATTTTTCTTAAAACTAAATTCATTCTAAAACAAAAATCTTTTATCTCCGATTTTTGCTTATATTCCAACGATACAGAACAAATTTCAGTTCAGATATACTTTTGCTCCATGCTTGTCCATCTGAAGAGAAATAAAACATTCCACTGAGTACAAAAATGCTTCTACACAAATCAGGTTCACGATTAATTTCTGCATTTTCATTTATTTTTTTTGTTTTATTTCATCGCAAAGATCTAGGTCGTCACACTGTTCGACTCTTAAAGTAAACAATGTAAGGAAGGAATTAAAAAAGATTCAAGGAGATTTGAACTAGTATACAATGTCCCTGGAGTTTTCTTCTGTTGATACCTTGACCGATTTCTCAATGGAAAACTCGTGGTTAAGTAAGATTCGAATCTGTTATATTGAATAATATTCGTTTTGAAGGAAATCACTTGTAGTGAAGAATGGATCATCCTAGTTACTCATCGTACGTTATAGTTAATAAATTTGAATTATACTGACATAGTTTAGTTCTTGAATGGCATTCAAAGCATACGGAATGGATTAAAGTAAATATGTTCTCCTCCATGAAAACACAAGGTTATATACGCTAAGAATAGCACTATAAAAGAGTTTGGAACTCTATTAGACCGTTCAATCTCACCCGACATATTCACCTGGCCATACAGTAACTGATTATTACCGTGTTTTATCGCTGCAAAACTTTGGTGTTGAAAGCTTTCTCTAATGAAAAGTCAGATTAAAATGTTTGCCGAAAACATTTTCTCATCACAACATGCGGAATTTTACCCAAAATCTAACGAAGAGCTGCCTGATGAGCGATAAGTCTTTGTAAATAATGGTGAAAATATAAATATAATTCGACTTTATCAATTTTATTCTTCCAAAAATAAAACTAAAATCTTTTTAATGATTCAAACTAACGTAATCAGATTGATTAGCGCCACCACATTGCAGACTTAAGGTTTGCAAATTAAAGTCTTCCCGGAAGTTTGTCCATTTGGTATGTTGGAATCAAAACAAATACGAAATATAGTATCCAAAATGTTAATGACAAAGATTTCTGAATTCTAACAATGTCTGTCTTCGTAAATTTGTTTCCTTATACGATTTTGCTGCATATGTGTCTGCCACCCACTCGTAGGATGAGTCAGCTGCATTAGAAGGATTATTTCGTTTTATTGTGAATAAACAAGTTTTCCTTGAACAAACGCAAGTATTATTCAATAAAAGGTTCGACCACTATCATCAACATTGTAGAGTCATCAATATCAAATTACATTACAGGCCTAATTCATCTCAGAATTAATAAAGATTCGATGAACGAACTTTATCTTGTCTCTAACATTGTCTGCTAAATTATGAATCGTTGACATTAAGAGGGTGTATATATATATATATATATATATATATATATATATATATATATATATATATATATATATATATATCTTTAAATTCTATCTGCTTGCCTCATGAATTTTCTTCTTCATCAGTCAATAATCTAATAATCGCAAGAATTCCAGTATATTGTCTCATTTATCTGACACAATTACGCGTTGACGCGAATTTTTATTAGACCATAATTGGCTTCTTTTTTCTCGTGCAAATTGGATGATGCATTCGTTGCGCAAGTATTTTCCGCGCGAATCTGTTTTAATGGAAGTTTCAATATACACATTTTTGTAGCAGATGCACTATCCTCGCCACGATGTAAGGAAAATTTTCCTATGTCTTTCTATATTCCGGTCTGAATGTCTGTTTCCGTCTGAGATATTACTATAAGCATTATATTTAGTTGCTACGTGAGTTTACGTAGACGTACCTGTTTTTTAATTAATATTTAAACAGTGAAATTAATCTCAAACGCCAGTTTCGACCAATGGAAATGTCTCTTTAAAGGGAATAAATCTATATTAGCTTTTTCCGTTGGAAGCAACCACCATTAAACCTTTCGGGTGCACGTTTTCTTTTAGGATTTGTCCCTCTCTCTGTCGGTCGACACTAATTTCTCTGTTAATCATTTAAAAATGCTATCGTGACGTCTACTCCAACAAATTCTCCAATTTATCATTTTTCTAAACACAATACTTACACACATACACAAGTTTATAAAGATACGAAGTCATTAAAAAATAAGAACAAAAACATGCTACCTTCCGCCTTTCTCTGACCAATTCTAATTGTTTTATTACACTTAAAGTAAAGGGATATTTTCTCAAACAATCCACACAAAAGAAATGGTTAGATATAAGAAAAAATAATATGTGGAAATAATCATTCTTCGTCTGCTGATGGTCACAAGACCTGAAAGACGTGTATGGAAAATAAAGTATAATATATATATATAAAAATATTAAATAAATAAATAATCCATATAAGAGAAAGAGAAATTTTTTAAACTTAAATATGTTATAAAATCACTACAAAAATAGCCATTTTGTTTTGTCAAAGGACCGGATATAAAATTAGCTTCTAAAGTAACTTCAATGAAGAAATAAATTTAATAACATATATATTTCTTCTTTTCTCCTCAGTAATTTTATAGTTGTAAACTTAATAGCGATTAAATTTTGATTTTAAAATTAGCAGGTTTTAATTTTAATATTAGATTTTATCACATAATTTAGTAATTATTGGTTAGAATAAATTCTTTTTTAATATTACCCATATTTTAAACATCTGAATAGCTTTTATAACATGACTTCGCTGTCAAGCTTTTTGAATTTTCCTATACTTGTATTTTGATTGGTCATTCTAGCTTTTGTAACAACGTTTTCCCCTTGCAAAGGATTGTTAATTAATTTGAAACTTTTAAAACCATTTATTTTACATTCAACATCATCACTTGATAAGATACCGAGGGTGTTGAAACAAAATGGCTATTTTTGTAGTGATTTTTAACATATTTATGTTATAATATTTTTAAATAAATAATTATATATATATATATATATATATATATATATATATATATGTGTGTGTGTGTGTGTGTATATATATATATATATATATATATATATATATATATATATATATATATATATATATATATATACAATGTGTATGTGTGATTGCATGAATGTATGAATAACAGATAAGACAGAACGTTAGAGCCAAGTTTCGGTACAATAATCACCTTTCTCAAAAGTATTTAATGAAATGGTAGATATCACTCAAAACGACTGAACATCGGGTGCCTTATCACAGAAGATGGTTAATCTGGCTGGTCATTAACTAATACCGCCTCACGTAGTACTTCTTTAAACATAAAAGAGCAAGAATGAACAGTTGAAATGTAAAAGTAACCTAGCAGCCATCGTTTGATCATATATTAGCAAAATTTCAAATACAAATTTTCATATATCTATCAAGATATGAACTTATGGATGCAAACTTTAATACCTTTGTAAGGAATGCTAGCCAAGTTAGATCTTTATTAGAAAAATTTTCTTGTCGAATGCCTACGAGAGATAATCTTAATATTTTAAAGTTTCTATTAGTCTTTTATATCTTTCTTCTTCGACAGCTTAAAATAGATTTTTGGTTGATAAAGGATTATAAAAGTAAGAAATGTTTGTCCACTTTCAGATGTTGTAATATCTGTACCACTTACCATTTTTTACGATTAACTGCGGATTACATTATGGTATTTCTACGGTTCAGCTGCATATGACCGAAATCTTTGCTTCAGCTCATGCACTAAATACCCCATTTCTTTATCTTTAAAAGGCATGCCATTTTTTGGCTTCCTTTCTTTAAATTCTGCGCCTATAATGTGAAGCTTCAGTTGTCAAAACTTTCTTTAAAAAGTATTTGCAGGGGTGAACATACGGGTTCTGTACGGCTTACGATAATGTTTGTCATTGGAAAACTTTGTAACATTCAGAAACATTAAAACGCTGAGTTCATGATTGTTATACCATCATAGCATATTCTTAATTTCACCCAGTCTTTTAAGTTAAAGATATATTTTATTCTGATATACCTTCATCACATACAGAGTGGCATGACTCCAAGAACGGTTCACTTTCCAAGTAGACGCTTACAGATTCATGTGATGATGATAGACTGATTTCGACATTAAATAAAACAACAAATTCTGACATTTAAAATCAACCAAATTATCCCGACGCCCATATTGGTTGCGTTTAATTTAATGATTTAATGAAATATTTTGTAAGTGTGTATATTTGAGACAAGTGTTTTTTTTATTATTTCTTTTACAGTATTTCCATCTACCAGCTCGTAGAATTCGACATACGTCAGACCGCCGCAGTCAAAATAGTCTTCACAGCAAATTCAAGGTACTGTTATACTTCTGAAATGAAGCACATCTCATTAAGAGCTTTCGAAGCCCATATCTGCGAAATTTATTTTCATATCCAAGTCTTAAAGTAATTTTTTAAGAAGAAATTAATGTTTTGTTTAGCAGCATATCAACATCTCTACGAGTTAGTTATTGCGGTGAGGGAGTTTTTGTTTTTGTTTGTTGTTTTTTTTTGTTTTTTTGTTTTCTTTGTTTTTTTTTTTTTTTTTGGTTTTCGGTTTTTTAAGTGTATTTTCGTCTAAAGATCTAGGTTTTCCAAAAGCTTTTATTAAAACAAAAAAAAATTGTAGCCGTTCCTTGCCACATTCGACACACGTGTGGACACATTGGTTATTGCTAATAATTTTATTATTACACACACAAACGTACTTAAATTTGCTGGCACGACGAAAGATAGATTCTAAAACACACTTAGCCATTTGGAAAAATTTCTAGAAATAGCCACTCTCTCATTTTAAAGTTTGATAGCCCATAAAGTTTGAAAACTCAACACTTCTATAGGCCGCGACCCTTCTGAAGCCAGAATATTATGGCGACGAATGATCGCCTATCTCTTGTTACTCTTAGCAATATCTTTCTAACTTTTCTAATGCTAATGCCCGCCGTTTCGTCCTCCATTCACACAAGCTCACCAGGTAAATGAATTGATGCCTTCACTGATCTCTCTTGCTCTTAATATGGCCCGTGAGAATTACGTTTTCTCAGTCCCCCTTCTTCATTATGTATCCAAGTAATTTCAGCATTCTTTTTCTGATTCTGAGTGGAAGTGTTTTTTCTGATTCCATTTTATTCTAAATTTCGTTGTTGCCTAATCGCTCCGTCCATGGAATTTTAAGTATCCTTCTGCAAACCGACATTTCTGCTGTCTCTAGTGTTTTTCCAATGGGTGGGCAGATTTCCCAACATTCACTGCACATTCATATCACGATGGATGATATAGAAATCCAACACTCTTTTCTTTGTTTATAACGATTTTTTTCTTTTTTTCAGCACCTTACTTAGCTTTTGGAATGCTTCTCTCACAAGTCCAAAGATATTTTTTCTCTCTCATGAGTCCAAAGATATTTTTTCTCTCTCACAAGTCCAAAGATATTTTTTCTCTCACAAGTCCAAAGATATTTTTTCTCTCTCACAAGTCCAAAGATATTTTTTTCTTTCACAAGTCCGAATATTTTTTTTTTTCACAAGCCCAAATATTTTTTTTCTTTCACAAGCCCAAATATTTTTTTCTTTCACAAGCCCAAATATTTTTTTCTTTCACAAGCCCAAATATTTTTTTTCTTTCACAAGCCCAAAGATATTTGTGTCTCGCATTTTCCATCTTTTGTTAAAACACTTCTGCGCCTGCTTGATCTCCAACAGGCATCTTGGGGCTTTTTTCCCTTGTCGACAGCCATACTTTGTCTTCATGCAGTTGATGGTTACTCTTTCTTTTTCTCTCCGTTTTTTCTACCACATTATCTGGGAGGTCCTGTAGTTTTCTTCCCGAATCGAGAGTGTCATCTGCGCATCTTATATTGTTAAGGTTACTTATATCGATAATAAATCCTGTTTAGGTCTCCAGTTCTTTTAGGATAGCATCTCTGTAGTGGTTGAATGAATATGGAGAGAAGACAGATCCTTGTCTTGTGCCCATTTCTATGTTTCTACATCGACTCGATTCATTTTGTATCCATATGAAACCGCAATACTTCTTCTATGTGCCGTGTTGCTTTAGGACATCGATGATCATGCATCGCCATAATTTCCTCTCCTTTCTAGATCTTAGTAAATGATGTATTTTTGGTATCTCTCCTAGACCTTTTTCTGCAATCCATTTACACATGCTCGTTACGTAAGTTAACGTCCTGTGAGTGTTCTCATTATGTTCCCTAGAAATAACACTGTCTTTCTAATTTTAAATATAAATTTCCCTTTTGTCAGCACTAGCATGCGATAAATCGCCCACTTTGTGTCGCACCATCGTTTTGTCGAAGGTTAACAATTTTTTAGAATATTATTGCATTTCTTTCAATCCCTATGGAAAACCCGACTTTAGTGTAACTATGCCAGACTAAGACAAGACTATTAAATAGCATCAGGTAACAAGGAATATTCTAAAGAATTCGTATTTTTATTAAAGGGCTTTGAAATTATGATTAAAATTTACAAATAATGCTTTAGTGTATTATGTACACGATTTACATTATTCGGACAATTGTCCTCATCTTTGTCGCCATATTTATTACAATGTTTCGGCCGTTGTACGCTGCGACCTTCTTCAGGTGGTTGGAATGTCGAACTGAACTCTTTATTTCGCTCATTGAGGTAGACTGTTCTAGTTCCACGTGCCATGTCTAATGGATGTCCTCAAGGACACGTGGCACAGTGGATAAAGGCTTTAGTTAGATCCTATGACAGGACCCAAAGTGTGTAAGTTCAATACCTTGTAAAGGCGGTGAAGAACTTAGAGAGGGGAATTAACAGGAGATAACTGACATCCATTAGACATGGCACATGGAACTAGAGCAGATTACCCCAATGAATTAAATAAAGGGTTAAGTTCGACATTCCAACCACCTGAAGAAGGCCAGAGCGTACAACGGCCGAAGCATTGTAATAAATATGGGGACAAAGATGAAGACCATAGTCCGAATAATGTAAATAGTGTGCTGTATTTGTGTAGATTATGACAGCATGATTAATTGCGTCTGAAGACGTATACGGCAGTTTGTGTGTGTGTTAACAAAAGAAATATTTAAATATAAAGCGCTTAATTAATTACATATTCATAACCTTTAATTATTGAAAATATAACAAAATAAACTGGAAATTAAAATATAAACAATGCATTTGCATTCATTAAGTCATTTTGATAATACATACTTGGAAATGTTTTTCTCGGAAACCGCTTTTTCGTTCCGATAAATAGTAAGACTCACAATGATTTAATTATGCGTAACAAATCTTCTATGTAAACATTATTTACAAGAAAAAAAAACCAAGACGTCAGATGAAAGTATTGACTACTTTTTATTTAAACTTTTATGCAAAGAAGAGAAATCTGGAGACGTGGTGCAATTCTGTGGAAACCAGATTTATCTTGATATTTTCCTTGTATTTAGGCAAAGTTCGCAACGATTACCATTGTAAGCGCCTTTTGTTCTTGCCCTAGATTTATATTGTGGCCAAAACTGTAAGGCTTCTTTTCGTTTTTTTTTTAATATGGAGTTGTATTCAAGAGATTAACGTACGCATGAGGAGTGTGTGCATCTATTCAATGGTTTATCAGTGCCTGTGTTATATATGTGTATGTGTGCTCGCACACACGCACTGGTAAAATAAGGAATATTACAGTCGAAGAAAAATATTTAAAAATAATTCTGAAAATGACTTTTTTCCAAAACCTGAGGGAAAAGATCGGTATATCTACGTACGCATACACACGCCTAATACGTAATGGTAATGTTAGCTGTTTCCTTATAAGGAAATAGCTGGCAATCATTGACTAAGCAGCCAGTACATCTGTGGCAAGAAATTTATATCTTTATCTCTAAACCATTTTCTCAAGTCCAGTAACTGTTATCGCTCTTCTCTGTATTGACAGAGTTTTCATTCATAAGCTTTTATATGACGCGGTGCAGAACATTGACTTATTATGTCATTAAAACTATATAGAAAGTATTTTTCGTTTTTTATCGAGCCTTTCTCAAAACGTTATTTTACTTATATATCTGAAGACTCTATCCACTATATATAGTCGTGTGTATTGTTTTTTGTTTTTTTTTGTTTGTTTCTTTGGGGTTTTTTTGTTTGTTTCTTTGTTTTTGTTTTTTGTTTGTTTGTTTCTTTGTTGTTTTTTTTGTTTTTGTTTTGTTTTTTTTACAGTAAGGTTCACACTGTACAAGGCCCAGGGCCACTCGGGGTAGGGTGTTACGTTAAGGGGTAGATGATATGCATAGGAGTCGATGATAACTGGTGACTCTAAACTTGAACAAATTAAGATTGTAGTGATCGGAGAAACATCCTCTTTGGAAGTTTGTTTCATAAAGAAGTGGTTCGTGGGAAGAATCTTTTTGCGTGAAAATTACTTCTCGCGGATGGAATACATAGGGAATGTGTGTGGTTTGCTACGACGTAAGTGTCATGGCTGGTCTTAGCCGTGAAGTTCAGACCTGATGAAACCAGGGAATGCAGTTCGTCCAAGCACTTTCCATGTTAATAACGATAGAGCAGTGAGAGGCTCGCCACATCACGCACGATGTTTTGAGAGAGTGAGAGAGAGTGAGAGTGTGTGAGAGAGAGAGGTTGGAATGTGGAAAAAAATTCTTCTTCAACAAAAAGTGTGCAATAACGTTATTAGTTCCTATGAGAGGGATGGGGAGGGAGAGATTTGAATACATCGCTGAAAATGCTTGCACACTCCTAGATGTGGAAATTTGATTTTTTTTTAAAATGTTTTTTCAAAAATTTGTGATTTATTTAAAGCCGAAACTTATTTTACATTGAAGGAATTTTTTTTTTAGAATAACAAGTCCCACTATTTAACACAGAGCTTGAGGAATGAGGCGGTTTCATATGTTTCCTAAGGATATTGGCGCGTAATTGAAACCGACCAGAATTCGAACTCTGCTTTGTCTCTCAAATTTCTTATTCTGAGTAGCTATTCATTCTATTACGGGGTGTGGACACTTTGACGTGCTGTAATAATTAGCAATCTTATCTCGCTAAATCAATTTTTTGTGAACGAATATTGCATTACCAATTTTACTTTTACAATAACAATGATTTCACTATATACAAGTCCTGCTATTTAACCGATAAAAATAACTAAAAAATATGCCCTTCACGAAATCACAATAACTCAGCATTTGTCTTGCAAGAACAATTATTATAGGACTAATACTTTTGCTGCTTACAAGACTAATCAAAACCATTAGTCCACTTACTAACTATCGTCTTCTACATCATAATAACATGAAGCATTTAATCTATCCCACGTGATCAGATCCATCCACTGAAATTCTACACGGACAATAAAAATATATTTTACCTGTTTCCCTGTAACGTTTTCACAAAATTTACTTTCTTTTTGGGGAATGTTTATTTAAATATACTAATTTGGTTGCTTTGTTGGTATTAGTATTCACAGATCCCTCCGTCTTTTCTCTGGCTACGTTTGCAACACCAACTTCTGAAAATATGTTTTTACTGATTTGATCCGTTTTGGACGAGCAGATAGAGTAATGGTTAAGGGAACAGAATGAGAACTCTGCTCTTATTCCGTGTACGTAAACATTACTCCACCTGCGCGTCCAAAACGTATCAATATCGGAAAACACATTATTTTAAACAAAAGTCTATATGGAGAGAGAATGGAGATTACCGCCCTATGTGGGATCATGTTGAGATCATAGACAAGGAACAACATTGGAAAATTCTTAAACTTAAGGAATCAGCACATATGCTAGGCCACAAAAATCTCCTGAGCCGACCAAGTATAGAAATGAATACAATATGGGAACCAGTAATAAGGAGTGCCAGAGAAAAGCGATAACAACAACAAAAAGTTGCAATATGAGCTCTGGTAAAAACATATAATGATAACAGCAAAAAATTGCAATATAAGCACTGGTTTATAATACCAAGAAATTCATACGCAGATGTCATCAAGGACACATGGCACAGTGGATAAAGGCGTTGGTTAGTGACAGGACCCAAAGAGTGTGAGTTCAATACCCGGTTAAGGCAGTGGAGAACTTTCAGAGGAAAATTAACAGGAGATAACTGATAAATGACATCCATTAAACATGACACGTGGAACTAGAAGAGTCTACCCCAGTGAGCGAAATAAAGGGTTCAGTTCGACATCCCAACCACCTGAAGAAGGCCGTAGCGTACAACGGCCGAAACGTTGTAATAAATATGGCGACAAAGATGAGGACAATAGTCCGAATAATGTAAATAATGTATATAATACCTCATCTCAAAAATATAGACAGATACAAAAATCTATATTCATGCAAGATAATATTTGAAACTGTGAAGGTGGCTTATTTTTTCCCCAAAACCATCGTCAATCGAACTGCTTCCAGCTTCTCAAGAAAGCTAATGGTTTATCATATTTATCAGGGACGGAAAACAATATTCAAATAAAGATCTTGATGACAATAAAAAATTTTGCGAAAATTTTGCATTACAAGCAGTAGAAAAATTAATAAAACCACTAAAAGAAAGGCTAATAAAAGTTATAGAATGGCATGAAACAGTGGAAGAACAAAAGTAGCATGTGGAGACACATCATCTACTCTGTACAGTCCAGTCCA